ATTTGACAAATAATTATTGAGGGCATTGTACTGGGTACTGGAGATAAAGTGATAAGCAAAATAGACAAAAATCTCTGCCTTCTTGGGTCCTGTTTTTAATAGGGGAGACAGATAATAATAAGATAGAGACTTAGATGTAAGAAGCACTGTGGAGAAAAATAATGCAGAGATAGACCTTGTGTGTGTGATGCAGAAGGATGTAATTAATATAATATGGCCATGGAAGGTCTTACTGAGGAAATGAAATTTGAATAAAGTCTTAAAAACGGTGAAATAGCCATCTACTTGGCTATATGGAGGAAGCACATTCCAGGATCTTGGAACAGCAAAAATACTAGCTCCAAAACAGAACTGTGCCTGGTATAGTCAGAAACACTCAGGATATCAGTGTGGCTGGAGTAAAGTGAAGATAAGAATTTCTGTATGTCTTGATCACCATAAATCCCACCCTAGCAACCAGCACAGTGCCTAGCACACAGCAGGTCCTCTAGCACATAGTAGGCACACTGTAAATCCATGTTGAATAAATGAACCAATCAATGGGAAAAGGGAGTGAATAGGATTAGGAATGGTGGCCAAAGGTAGAGTCTAACTTTATCATATGTGGTCTATACAATTTTTTAAATAAATAATAATTAAGGCAAATATGACCGTATGTTAATAATAATCAATTCTGGGATGTGAGAAAGTACGTGGTATTTTACTTTTTACATTTCTAAAATTATTGTAAACAAACAATTCAAGAGATGCTAAAAATCTCACAGCCCAACAATGAAGTGGCTAGTACAGAACTTAGTATTTTCACCTGCTGTTTCCTTTTATCCTCCACACCTGTGAGAGAACTGGTTTTCTATTCACTTTACAACTGTAGAAACGAGCTCAGATAAGTTATGGGAGTTGACCAAGACTATGTACAACTAGGCAAGAGAAAAGCTGAAATTTTCTGACTGTAATTCCAGTGTTTGTTTTTTACATTACACTATTATGCATGTAACATATATATGAGGCTTTTCTACACCTATAAACTATAAAATATTTGTAACTGTTTGCTACATTTAGTAAATGAATAAAAATAAAGCTGTGTAAAATTTTAATGTAATTTTATGCCGTTGCTATTTGTTCTTAAAACAGTCATTCTGAATTTACCTCTTATAGTCATTCCACTGAGGGCTCCCCTTACTCCCCTTTGAACCTCCAACTAATTGATCTATAAACTACTCACTCAATCCTTGTCCCACTAAACACACACTAAGACTTACTCTATCTTATAATTATACATAGAATTATAGACCTCCATTTGGGTTACACATAACTACAAGACTGAACCAGAGAGGAAGTTCTAATTCAGTCTGGTTAGCCTGACCCACATACAAAGGGCCATAGAACAGTCTTAATGAAAACCAGAACTACAGATCGTAGATGTTTCAAAAGTTTACATTTGAATAAATTATTCTGACAACAGAACAAGATTGCTTTTTTGGCCTTTTTTCTTTTTTTAGTCAGAAGGGTTTAGTAAATTCAGTAGTGTTAAGACACAGGTTGAGAGAAATGTATCTAATTTATTAAGAATCAGAATTGGAGTGGAATAAGTAAAAGGTGGTAAAACATAAAAGCCCAGTGATTTCTGGGACATCGACTGTGCATACAAGCTGACCAATACAAATTAAGAGAGATACAATGATTCATTAGAAAAATATGATGCCTAATTTAAAACCAGACCGCATTATGGATCATAATGACATTCCTCCTTCCCCTTAGAGTTCTATGGACTCCTTATTTCCTGCATTTGAGAAATGCAAGCAAGTGCCCTCCTGGGCACCAAGAGGGAGTCTCTTTCAGCTTCCTCTGCAGTGATGAATGATAGAGTTGGATTGTCACAGCTGGAATCATCTAGGGAAGATGCCACCAATGGAGTGTTAAGAGAGAAATATCATTCCTAGGAAACTGCTTTGTCTCACACATCCTTCATGGCCAGGTGTACTGAAGTGTCTGAACCAATGCTGGCTCTGTTGTCCTCAACCAAAATAATTTTCTTCGGGGAATATATTTATGATGGCTTAAAAAAATGCAATTTCAAAGTTTCTGGGAGAACCAGAGTATCAGAATGAATGTCAGAAGAGAGATCCAGTATTGCTGCTAACTGTTTCTGTGATATGGGGCAAGTTATTTCAGCTTCCCCAGCCAAATGGTTGGTAAGGTGTCTTTCAGCTCGTTTTTATTTTAACTTGTTACCCAGGGAAGCACACTACCAAACTTATCCAGTGAGATAAGACAGGAAAGATTTAATCACATTCTCTCTCAGCTAGAGTGGTTAAACTTTTAATCAGTCTTCACTAGCAGAAACTCATTTTTTTATTACATATGTTAGTTTCTTATGTTTTGAGTTAATCCTAGATCTCTCAGAGAAAAATAAGTATTTTTTTCTCCTGGTATCACCTATTTCTAATATTGCGGTTTATTTATGTATTTATTTTTAATAATTAGATAAGTGGATGCTGATTTTACAACTAAAACCAATCAGAAAAGGTTTAGCTTTATGAATACTTCTTTTAGTTTGCCCCTACATCAACTGAGTCCTTGGTTATGGGTTTGGTCCCTATATAGGCCATTAGCTACATTTGAAGAAGATCTCAAGTTCTTATTTGCTGCCTTGGAAAGTGAGGTTGTTAATCATAGGAGGTACACTGATAAGATGTAAATATAGCTCATCACCACAACTGGAAAAAGCAATGTTAACGTGCCTGTCCCGCCACATATAGTCATCTTGGTGCTGATTCTTAACTTCCAGTATAATGAATATAAATGTATCTGTCAGAATGCATTAAACCAGGATAAGAAAGTAAGGGTCAGTGAATTGGAATAAGCATACTTACTACATACATAAAATAAAACCAAAAATCCACACTTCCAAAACAGGTTTGAGATGACACCTCAGTTGAAGAGTCACCACATTAAAAAGAGTTCCTTGCTCCTGAGCAATAGTGGTATAGATCACTATTTCTATAAACATGCAAATAGCTGCCATGTTTTTGGTGGTTCTGTGTCATCACTGCCACAGTGATAAAAGAAGCTGAAGGGCAGACAGCTTACAAAAATATTTGTTGAGCTTCTAGGATGCATCTTGTATTATGCCAAGTTTTCTACTTGTTGCTGGACATACTTTGAGACAGTATAGTATAGAAATTATGTCTGTAGGTTTCAGAGTCAAGCTGGAGCCATTTACTTGCTGTAAGACCTTGCCCAAACTACTTAAGCTTTCTGTATCTGTTTTCCCATCTGCAAAGTGGGGCTAGTACCTTTGCCAAAGTTACCGTGAGGATTAAATGAAAACATGAAAATCCCTTGGGATTGTTTCTGGCACCTAAAAGTGCTCAGTGTTTGTTAATGTCATTCATTATTTTATCTTCACAATCCCCACTTTAAACAGGATCTGTCTGGCTCCAAAGTCCCTGCTAATTCCTCACTGTTGTAGTATATTTAAAAATTAAAAATATACTTTAATTTGTTAATAAAATTTAGATTGGTAGACATTCATTAGTTCCTTGAACATATGGAGAAAATACATCAGGAATTAATGTGGAAGAAATCACCTTGAGGTTGGGAATAAGGAGATCTGTGTTACTCAGTGATTATTCTGGGCATGAAGTTCCTTGTTAATTGGAGAATCTACATGAGCTAGGTTCTTTACAGTCTAATATTCCATGAGTCTATGGATATGATCTATAGACACAGATTTTGTTCCTAAAGGTAGTTTCTTACTCTCCTTGTCTGCATTTAGTCTTGAGCTGTCTTCAAAGGAAGCAAAGTTGAAGGTATGGGTATAGAATGCCAAACAACCGTATCTGTGAAAGCTGGTTTTACACATGCATAGAACCCAGTTCGGCAGTTCGCCACTGCCAAATGTCTCTGCAAGCTGATTAGTGGTAGCCAGGCCTATCACTAGGTCTCCTAATTTAACCCATTCTCTTATACATTTAAACCACTTATACTTTATACTTCTGGCCTATTTAAAAATCCACCTTTTAGCTTTATTACCCACCTCTCCCCAGTCCTTAATTTCAAAGGTCCACCGGATATATGTGGTTGTTTTGCGTCCAACTAGCAGTTTAAGACATGAAAATGACATCAAATAAGAAAAAGAACCATTACGATGTTTCTATATTTTCCCATAGGTACGGAATTTCACATTATAGCCCTTGTCTTCAAACACCTAAACAAAGTACACAGGACCTTCATTTATTATTCCGTGCCCACCCACACCCTAAAAATAGCTCTCTTCACGCCACTTGCTCGAAATGCCTGACACTCCAAGCACTTTTACTCGCCTAAGAGCCTTATTTAAACTTTAGCCCCCTCCTCACCCCGCCCCGAAGCTGATCCCTGATTGGTCGAGGACCACTCCTCGTGGGCCTGTTCAGGCCACTGCGCGCGGAGCGCACTAGGAAACGAGTGGAGGCACGAGGGGAAGCGCAAGCTGCTTCCGGTGCGCTCCCTTCCCCCTTCCGCGATCCCGCTCTGACCGACTGCTCCCTGAAACAGTGCCGACGGTTTGTGGTCGTTGGTCCCCGGGATTTAGGACCAACATTTGGAGACCTGACGGGGTGAGTAGGGGAAAGGGGAAATAGGGTCACTACCAAACCCCTGCTAACGGCTAGAGACCATGTCCGGCTTACTCTCACTCCGAACACTCAGTGGGGTCTGGAGACGGTGTCTGCGGGGTTAACCCCTCGTCCTTTCCCGGCCCCTTCGAGCAGTGGGAGGGTGTCTGAGACGCGGCTTCCCGCCCGGCAGCATCTGGTCAGACAGTGCCCTCGCTGACACCCAGGCGCCGCGTGGTGCGGGCCTAGAGGCCAGTCTCGTCGTGGCGTCTGGCGCTTCTTCCGCCCCGCGTCGCCATGCGCTCTCCGCCTTATTTCCGCTCTCCCCCGTCGCCTTCCGGCCGCTTCCCATCTGTGCTGCCTTCCTTGTTCTTTTCCTGACACGCTCCCGCCGACGTCCGTTGTAGGCCGGGTCAGCCGCCTGGCCGTTGTTGGGCCGCGCGTCCCCCGGAGCCTTTGAGACGCCGTCTGGAGCATCCCCACGGCTGGGCGAGATTCAAGTCTAGTTGTTTCAGAATTGAATTCATGCTGGGTGAGCTTTCGCGAACTCCTTGTTGTTTTTGTGGAGTTCTAGCCGGGCTGGGCCTCGAATTCTCCTCTTTGTCTCCTTTTTGTCTCTTCCCCGAGTGCCTCCTATGTGCTGGGCTGTGGGCAGAGGGAGGCCGCGGGTGTGCGTGGGGTGGGGTGGGGTAAAGAATCTCGCCTCTCCCCCCACACGGCGGCAGCCCATGCCGTGGCACTACCTTTGTTTCCTGACATCTGGTAGTTTTTAAACCACTAATTTAAAAGTGTTTCTTTGAGGGTACTGGAAAGACCACAGAACTCGGAGTCAGGAGGCACGGGATTTAATCCTGGCGTTTATATCTGAGATGTTGCGAAGCTCCTTTTTTTATTTGGGCACCAAATTTTCACAAATTTAACTTAATATTTAAGTTCTTTAAGCTTTAACTGTCTTTACAGTCTTAAATTCCCTGTAACCTTTATATTATATGGCAATCCTAATATAGGCAAATATCAAAGAGGCAATATCGGCAGGAGCTGATATTTGATATATTTTTTTTGGGGACAGTCTCGCCCTGTCGCCAGGCTGGAGTGCAGTGGCATAATCTCGGCTCACTGCACTGCAACCTCCACCTCCCGGGTTCAAGCCATTTTCTTGCCTCACCCTCCCAAGTAGCTGGGACTACAGGCTTGCGCCTCCACGCCCATCTAATTTTTGTATCTTTAGTAGAAACGGGTTTTCACCATGTTGGCCAAAATGGTCTTGATCTGTTGACTTCATGATCCACCCATTTTGGCCTCTCAGAGTGCTGGGATTACAGGCGTGAGCCACCTCTGAGCTTTTTAAGTCTTCGCTTCTCTTGAAAATTGGTCCGATTTTGTACTTGAGAATGGCGTTATAACCAGGAAGCAGGACATATTGTGTGTATAAGGAGAATAACATTTAAAGGACATGTTGAAGTGTTGGTAGAATTTTGCTTATTTGAATAATGGGAACCTATTTTCCTTTCAAGAATCACCATGATGTACACAGTTTGACAGACTTCCATTTGGATCTTTTCAGAATTGAATCTCCTTTGGGGGCTAATGATAGACTTGTTTTCAGGGCCCCCATTTAAAACATTCTACTTTAGACTTTGTTTGCATCTGTTTGCATTGTTAATAAAATTTGTTTGCATCTTTATAGAGATAAAGATGACTGTTAGTGCTGCAATCAATAAATATTAATGCTTTCTGCTTAAGGCACTGCTTTGACTACTAATTTTCACTTAAGAGGCTGGAGTAATGGGCTTGAAATTATTGCCAAATATTGTAATACGTATCAACATTTAAAATATATGCATTACTGGATATATCATGAAATAAGAATTATTAATGAGAACAAACCCAATTTATGGACTGAGATTAAGCCTCATGTTTAATGATGTTATTTTATTGTTGGGAGAAGGAAGACAGGTCCATTTAAGTAGAGTTTGTGAATACAGATCAAGTAATTGCTGTAAAAATTGTCCATATTTGTGTATTAATGCGGAATATTCTCATTTTACTGCCTGATGGTTGAGGAGGCAAGAAAATAAAGAAAATGTGATTTCTATGTTCAGATTTCAAATAATAGACGAAAGACCTTATGTAAGGAATAGTGTACTTAATTTGGACAAGAATGTGTAGATATCTTTATCCTGACTTAAAAGAGCATATACACCTCTGTGTTTAGAGCAAAAAATTTTTAAAGTAAAGTTTTTTTAAGTAGTTCAATTTTTAAGTTATTCTAAATTTAAACTGAATATTAAAACTTTTATTCATTATATATGTAACTTCTAGCAATAAAATATGCTGTCATTCTTTAATAAAAACCACTTAAAATCAAATTGAACTGATCCATCTATACACTTACTTTGAAATAATTTTAGACTTCCGTATTCACACACTTTTGACTGACTAACTCTTCTCAGTTTCCAACCAGGTTGGCTGTAGTGCAGTCTGTCACTAAAGTGAATTGCTGCTTAAAAACAAACCGAAAAGCCTTCATTGATCTGGCCACCATGCTTTCTGTGTACCATACTCAATGACAACTGAGCTAACAAATCAGTAGTTTAGTACTATATAATTCAAGGAATGTCATAAAGATCTAATGGGCCTCCATAAAGGCACATTTTGATATTCTTAAAAATTATTTTTCATTATTACCTTGAGTTTTTAAAACCCAAGGTAAGATTATATAATGTTCACTTTAACAACTTGCTAAATATTTACAGTAACTTGGAAGATGAAGTTTCAATTTAAGTAGTTTCAGTGCAGATGACGCAGTTCCTTTAAACAATTTTCATTAATATTTGGCTAAAATTGTGCTTCTCATTTTTTCATTAATATACTTCCTATTTTTGAAAGGCAGTACAAATTTAAAAATACATTTTAATATTAAGATGGTTGAAATTAAAGGAGATATAGCTAGCATATAGATAGGAAATATATAAAGGCTTGATTCAGATTGTTAACTTGAATATCCTGTGATTTGCTATCCTTTCTTGGCCTTTTGCTTCATACTTCAAAGACGTTTTTTCCTTCTATTTTCTCTTTTGAAAGTGAGCTAGAGAGGAATCTTTGAAAGTCTAAAATTTAGGGGAAAAATATATATCTGAAAGCTAGAGTTAAATATGGCACAACTTTTAATTTCTCAGTTCCACTTTGTTTGCAAAACCATTTTTGTTATTCTCAGGATCCCTCTTTCTCTTGAATTCTTTGGCTTAGCAGGGTAAGGAAACACATTTTTAGAACACTTTGGAATGTGGCTCCACATCTGAAAGTGACAAGAGGACAGTTGGTTGGTATGTCTGTTTTGCCCTAATGTTTAGGACAGGTGTGCTTCCTTGAATATTTAGGTTACACTCAGATGGATTCTGGAGTGTTTTAGAATGAATGTGTTGTATGCTTGTTTTAGATTTGATTATATTTCTCTGGCTATTCTTGAATTTTGCCTCTTTTAGAAATATACTTTTGTTAATATGTTAAAGTTAGGTAATTTTGAACTTTCTTGATTGTGAATTATGCATGTGCATACGTTTTGTTTTGGAGGCTTTGAGATAACACCTTTTTTTTTCTACAGAGAGTATGGGATTGGTGACGCTTCAGTGTGTCTTTTTCTTCTGTAGTTTCAAGCTTCTATAATATTTTTATATTTCTTGAGATATACAGAGTCTGGCATATGTTTTCAGTCATTCTCTAGTAAAAGGAGCCTTTAATGTGTATGGACTGGCCTGTTATTTCAATAAAATACTCTAGATAATTTCTTTAAACATAGAACTTTAGAGACATGAATTAACCCAAAAGATAGGTCTGTAAAGCAGTTGTAGGGGTATGCTGGATTGCAGAAATCAGCCATTTGAAGCTAGCTATGAATTGCAGTTAAAAAAGGTCTTGTTTATTAACTTAAATTCTACATTTTGGATAAAATGGGGGCATATTTATTGCTTCTATAACCAGTAAGTAGCATATGTAAGGGGCCATACTAAGGCTTGTGCAAAAGTAATCACAGTTTTTGCCACTGTTTTTAAAATTTTTTTGCATCTGTTTGCATTGTTAATAAAATTTGTTTGCATTTTTATAGGTGTAAAGATGACTATTAATGGCAAAAACAGCGATTACTTTTGCAAGAGCCTTAACTAGGTTCTTGTTTTTTCTTTCACTTTTTCCTGTAGCATGTTTAAAAAATATAAATCTCACAATTTCCTATTCACATTGTATCAACATGATCTTTAGTGTGTAGTGAGCCAGTATGATGTCCTGTGGGATGTCGAGGCCATTGAAGACCTTCGACTAAATTATGGAAGAGAGTTGAGAGTTACGAATTTCTGAGGTGACATGACACTCCATGGTTTGGGCCCTTGGTCTTTTCGATTACTAATTTTGTGACCTTAAGCATTACTCTTTGATGCATTTGCTTTTGGTTTTCTTGTCTACGGTACTGAAGGTCATCTAAGGTCCACTTGAAGTTCTAATATTTTCTTGTTACAAAATCTTCAGTAATGGCAAAACCTAGAGTAAACAGTGTTAAGCTGAGAAGGATAGTTGTATCATTTAAAATGCTCCTAATTTTAAATGAAGGGTGATAGAAAAACATTGACTTTTTTAAAAGACAAAAGGCTGAAAGTTGGTTGCTCAGTCCTTACCTTTTTTTTCCCTTGAGACAGAGTCTTGCTCTGGAATGCAGTGACCTGATCCCGGCTCACTGCAGCCTCCACCTCCCTGGTTCAAGCAATTCCCCTGCCTCAGCCTTCTGAGTAGCTGTGATTACAATGATTACAGGAACATGCCACCATACGTGGCTAATTTTTTTTGTATTTTTTTAGAAACGGTTTTACCATGTTGGCCAGACTGGTCTCGAAATCCTGACCTCAGGCAATCTACCTGCCTTGGCCTTCCAAAGGGCTGGGATTACAAGGGTGGGGCACTGTACCCAGCCAATCCTTGTCTTATTATTGGTTCTGATTAGAAAAAAATAACATTTCTTCTATCCGAATCTATTAATAGTACATGTTTTATTCATTGCATTTGGTGTCACATAAATCTGTCCATGAAATATAGTGTAAGATACACAGCTGATAATACAGACATAAGACTTTTCCCTTGATAAAAATTATTTTCTACTATTTCTGCCATTTAGTAAATGTGTAAAGATACTCATCTGAAATCTTCAGTTAAAAAAACACAATAGTCCTGGTGCGGTGGCTCACGCGTAATCTCAGCACTTTGTGAGGCCAGGCAGGTGGATCATGAGGTCAGGAGTTCAAGACCAGCCTGGCCAACATTAAAATACAAAAATTAACTGGGCATGATGGCACACACCTGTAGTCCCAGCTACTTGGGAGGCTGAGACAGGAGAATCACTTGAACCTGGGAAATGGAGGGTGCAGTGAGGCAAGATGGTGCCACTGCACCCCAGCCTGAGTGACAGGGCAAGACTCCATCTCAGGGGAGAAAAAATGCTCGAAGTTTGTGAATTATAAGAACCTAAAAACAAGGTAAAGAAAGATG